ATGGAATGAGCACCAACAAGACGCATTTAACAATATAGCTATGTAACTATTCTCTGGGACATACCAATTCAAACTGGCAGAGAAATAAGAGCGAACAGACATATTATTATCATAAAAAGCAAGTTATCATCTGAGAGAAACTACATAAAAATTATTGAGAAATTGTCCAAATACAAAGACCTGGAGATCCAGGTTAACAGTATGTGAGGAATGATGACTGAGATTGTACCAATAATAATTGGAGTTCTGGGCCTCGTGAGAAAAACAAGAGACAATGTTAATACCAGTGTCCCAGGTAACAAGAACATATAAGTTACCCAGAAGATCGCTCTACTAGGAACATCCCATATGTTATCAATTAAATGACAATTCTCCTATAGGGTCTAAGGACCATAGTTTGGATAACTTCAGACACAAATACAATCACAAAAAAACATAAACACAAAAACATAATCAACAACAACAACAACAACAATAATGATAATAATAATTATTGCAAACATTGCCTTTTTGTTTTCCAAATAATTCGGTTTCGTTTAAAGAAAGCCTAAGTAAACAGTTTCTTTTGATTAATATTGATAATTGCAAAAGACAAAAAAAATTCAGGAAATGTATTCTTATCAACATAGCAATACCATCTGAGAAATACACCTTCATGAAAATGATCGAGAAATTGTCCAAATACAAGGACCTGGAGATCCAGATTAACAGGATATGGGAATGGAGACTGAGACTGTACCAATAGTAATCGGGGCTCTGGGCCTCGTGAGAAAAGGTGTTATGGTAATTTACTCACTCACGAATGCACTCTCCCAGCTATAAATAGGAGCAGGTACTGCCTTTTAGACAGGAAAGTTTCCAGCAGTCAGCTCTGCCAGTCGGACCGGACATTCTTGCTGTAACACTCTGGTTTGTATGTTTGTATTACTGTTTCTGTTGATATATTTAACTCAGTTCATTTGTTTGTGTCTTTATTTCTGGCCCTAACAAGGCCACATCAAAAGATATGAACAGTTTTACTAACAGTGTCACAGATAACAACAACATATAAGTTGACCAGAAGATCGCCCTACTAGGAACGTCCCAGATGCCAAAAGTGCTATCAGTTGAATGACAATTATTGTATAGGGCCTAAGAACAATAGTTTGAACCCGTCTCTACAGGATACAAAGCAGAAAATATAATATAGACAAATAATAATAATAATAATAATAATAATAATATATTAGGGTTTTGGTTCCAAAATTAGGTCTCCTTTCGGATAGCACCAACCGCAAGAATTCATGCAGGCAGCTTTGATCACTTCATTAGACGGGGAGCGATAGAATGTGTCAATACGAGACTTGTATCCGCTGGAAATCCACGTCACCTAGGAAGAGAAAAAAAGATATCATATTGAATAGATTAAAGTGGATTAACACCCGCCCCCAACATGTAGGTTGTCTATGTAATACAGGATATCTGAAATCTGTCTTGTTTGTCTTATTAAGTTAAGCGTATGTTCGCATCCAAAGGCAGGGCCTTCTCATTCCTGTTGAAGGAACCCCTCATGACTTCAGGAGCGTAGCCGTACTCACATTTGGCCAACTGTGCGTAAGTTGGAATTTTAAATTCAGAAATTTTTGGCTGAATTATTTTTGTTTAAAGCATATCAACCTCTTAATGATTAGATTTAAGTATTTTATACGCAATATTTATTTATTTTATTTTTGGAGATAATATTGGTTTATTGATACAAGTCTTACTAATTAACCCATAGCTGGAGGGACAAGAGGTGGATTTATATCTTTCTCAAGAGTATTTGCACGTAAGTAAATATAAGGAAATCAACTGGAATTGAAACTCGGCTCTCCATTTAATAATTCCGAGCCATTACCTATTACACCAACCGCACATCCAAGTTGACAGAACTTGGTATACCCAAGCGGACACCCATTTAGGTCAACGTTGCTTAACGTCAGTGACCGTAGTAGAAGGAAAATAGAAGGACTGTCCTGTTTATTTACCCATATCTGGGGTGGTGATAAGCGATATATATATATATATATATCTTTCCCAAGCGGCTGGAATTCGAACTCGGCTCTCCGATTCCTCAATCCGAACCTCTATCCATTACTCTACCTCAAATGTATATCAGATAAAATTCTTTATAAAGTTAGCAAGCCTAGCAAGGAATGGTAGTTGCAGAAAGATGAAAAAGGATCCGATCCTGAAAACTAATGGAGGACATTATCAAAGATCCTAAATATGCATAAGGACTTGTTTGTCTCTTTCTACTCATTCATTCATTCATTCTTTCTTTCTTTCTTTCTTTCTTTCTTAATATCTCACGCCTTTTGTTTCTTTTTACTCATTCTTACAACTCTTTTTTTCGTTCTTTCTTTCTTTCTTTCTTTCATTCTTTCTTTGTTTCTCTCTTTCTTTCTTAATGTCTCACAATTCTTTCTTTCTTTATGAAATTAGCAAGCCTAGCAAGGAATGGTAGTTGCAGAATGGTGAAAAAGGATCCGATCCTGAAAACTAAGGTAGGAAATAATCAAAGATCCCAAATACGAATAAGGACATGTTTGTTTGGTTGGTTGTCTCTTTCTGCTTATTCTTTCTTTCTTTCTTTCTTTCTACTCTTTCTTTCTTTCTTTCTTTCTTTCTTTCTTTCTTTCTTTCTTTCTTTCTACACTTTCTTTCTTTTTTCTTTCTTTCTTAATATCTCATCGTTCTTTTTTCTTTCTAACCTTTCTTTCTCTCAACTCCTTTTCGTAATATATCACCACTTTTCTTTTATTCCTTATTTTCTTTCTTTCTTTCTTTCTTTCTTTCTTTCTTTCTTTCTTAATATCTTTTTTCATTTTTCTTTCTTAATATTTCTTCTATTTCTTTTTTCTTCTTTTTCTTCTTTATCTCTTGTGGCTCTTAGTAGTTTTCCACCCTTTGCCAAGGCCTCCCACGTCCATTCACACAATCTCGTCAGCCTCCTCTATCTCTCCTATCCTCAAAATCTACCGCGAGGATTAAGTTTTTCACGCCCTCCTTCCTAAATTGTGGGTCTAAGGAATTTCTGCTATATTTCCTTCATTTTGAGTATAAGTGATTTTTTCTGTAGCCATTTTCAAAAGACCTACTTCTTGTTTATTCGCTCCGTGCATAGAATTCTCAATATCTTTCTGTGGAACCACATTTCTGTTGCCTTCTCCTGGTGAAATTGGCCAACATTCATTTCCGTATAAAAGGATGGCTATCACATACTAGCAATATGTAACTATAAAATGTAAATAAACTGCGGAAATTGTACACATAATTTATGAACACTATGCAATCTCACAACTCCTATATTTCTGAAAAATTTGAAACAATTACTTACCGATGGCGAAAAAACTAATCCTGTTCCTTGCAAGTCGAGGTGGATCACGCCTTTTCGGGGATGACATGTATGATATATACAGTCCCCGGCTTTGCCGTAATTCAATTGAACAGTACAATTTGTCCCCGATTTCTTGAACGACAGTGGATCTGATATTCCCAGAAGACTCGGGTCACAACTGATGTTGGTAAACGTTCTATCGTTCACTATTACTCGGAAAGTCTACATAAAAAGAAGACGAAAGAAAGAATGAATGAAAGAAAGAAAACATGATAAAAATTACTTAATGTTTTCAAGTATGACAATATTGGATTGTCACGGAACTACATCAGCTTATATTCTATGGGAATGCTTTACTGATCGTGTTTAAAGAAAAAAGCAATGGACCCCTTTTGGAAAAAGGGGGTTCATTGCTCGTAACGATGACACTGTCGATGATAAATGTACATTTCATTTGAATCGATTTTCTAAATTTCAGTTTGTATAATTTGAAAGAAATCAATGACCACAAGCTAACAATATATATATATATATATATATATATATATATATATATATATATATATATATATATATATATATATATATATATATATATATATATATATATATATATATATATATATATATATATATATATATACAATTTTTTGCTAAATATTCAAATAATATAAGACACAAGAGCCGCTCGAGGTAGTGTATTACTGAATGAGGTTGTTCCATGGACGTAAAGAGGATGATTTATATTATAATTACATCTGTTTTATATTGTATGGGAATGCTTTACTGATCGTGTTTTAAAGAAAAAGACAATGGACCCATTTGGGAAATAAATATCAGCTGACAATATATACAATATATATATATATATATATATATATATATATATATATGTATAATTTCTTTGCTAAATGTTCAATTAATATATGATACAAGAGCCACTCGAGGTAGAAGATTAATAAATGATGTTGTTGCATGGGCGTAAGAGGACATAATGGCTAACTACTGGCTTCTAAGTTTGCCCATTTGCTAATATATATATATATCAAGCAAAGATAGCTAGGTAATCCCTTTTGCTAACACCGGCTCAGGCACATTTGTATTTCTTCAAATATGTTGAGTCGACCAGAGATTTTTTTTTGAGAGAGAAAGTATGATTGATCGTGATCAACGGTTTTGAACAAAACTCAAACCTTCGGATACGATGATTAGGTATAAACACAGCCACTGATGGGTTTCAAAGAGTATCGTCAACTTAATTTCACACAAACTCGAGGTCGGTCAACCCATGGTATCGTCTTCAGCACCGCATGTTAAGATTATTTTCACAGGCCAAATGTTAGCAACATTACATTCTTGAAAGATCGACCATTCAGAGCTTCGGGAGAAAAAGAAAGAAGGAAACACGCAAACGCACAAAGAGAGAGAGAGAGACACACAGACAGACAAACAGAGAGAGACAGAGAGAGACAGAGGGAGAGAGAGTAAATATAAAGAAATAAAGATTGTTTCCACAGGCCAAATGTTAGCAATATTACCTTCTTGAAAGATCGGCGATTCAGAGCTTTGGGAGAAAAAGAAAGAGAGAGAGAGAGACAGAGAGGAGAAAGAGAGAGAGAGTAAATATAAATAAAGATTGTTT